GCACAACATAGATTGCACCGCACATATCGATCCTCATATGTTGTACCACATAGGTTCTCCTTTCGAAAAAGACAATACGTTCTACCACCCTCCCCCCCGGGTACAAAGATCCCCCTGGAACCGATGCAACCCACATAGGATTCTGACCCAATGCCCATCCTACCTGTGAATTCAAACTATCCCAGCCAGGCCTGCATCGATCCCCCGCCATCCTCTGCAACAAATACGATGCGCGCGCACTCGTGTATTAAACACCACACGTTTTCCAGAATCCCTTGCAAAACATGTGACGAAGTGCACGCGCGCGCGTCGTCGCGCGCGCAGGCCGAAATCCTTCAAAAACATTGGGTTCAGGACAGATTTTAAAATCGAGTGCCCGAAAAACACACACAAAACACATGGTTTCGCAACACGGATATTCAACAAAAGCGTGCGCAAGCGCTCTTGCGTCGTCGTCGTCATCGTCATCGTCATCGCCGTCCTCCCTCGTCCCTCGTCCCTCGTCGTCGTCGCCGTCGTCGTTCTCTGTCGTTCCTCGTTGTCGTCGTCGTCCTCCTCTTCGGCGTCGTCGTTGTTTCCGTCGTCGTTGTCACCGTGGTCGTCCTTCCTCCTCCCTCGTCGTCGTCGTCGTCCGTCGTCGGGGTCTCGTCGTCGTCCCTCCTATTTCGTCGTCGTCGTCGTCGTCGTCGTCTTCCCTCCTCCCTCGTCGTTGTCGTCGTCGGCGTCGACGTCCTCCCTCCTTCTTCGTCGGTCACGTCGTCGCCGTCCTCCCTCCTCCCTGGTCGTTGTCGTCGTTGTCGCCGTCGTCGTCATCCCTCCTCCCTCCTCCCTTCATCGTCTTCGTTGGCGACGTCGTCGTCGTCGTCTTCGTCGTCGTCGTCGTCGGCGGCATCGTTGTCGTCGTCGTCGTCGTCGGCGTCGTCATTGTCGTGGGCGTTGTCATCGTGGGCGTCGTCGTCGAAGTCGTTGGAGACGTCGTCGGCGTCGTCGTAGTCGTTGTCGGCGGCGTCGTCGTCGTCGTCGTCGTTGTCGCTGTCGTCGTCGGAGTCGTTGCCAAGTGCCATTTGGTACCTAACGTCTCGGTCTTAAGAGGTCTTGCGACCAAGTTGCTGTTGGGATGGTGGGATGTTTGCACGAGCAGTGGAGAGGACAGCTTCATTTTGAGCAAGTGAATTGCACCACGTAAATTGCATCACACAAGTTGCACAATAGATTTGGCACCACACAGGTTGCACCATGTCGATTGCACCACACAGATTACGCAACACGTCGATTGCGCTACATTGCTTGCTTCGCCTGTACTGCACCCCATCGGCTTCACCACATACTTACATTGCACACAATACAATGCACACCATCAAGTGCACATACTAAATTTCACCAGGTAGCTTGGACCACATAGAGTGACCAACCTAAGTTGCACCACGTAGTTTCCACCGTATAGATTGCAGCACATATTGCAAGACAGATTTTGCACTATACAGATTGCGCCGCATACGTCGACCCCATACATTGAAGCACGTGTACTGCTCGACATACGCTGCCCAATATAGCTTGCGCCATACGGATTGCTCCACATAGATGGCACGAACTAGACTCTCCTTTCTTACTAGAGAAAAGACTCCATCCCCCGTGGGATTATCTGCCCCCCTTTTCGGTATTGCAATTTACGTACGATCCTGGCCAATCGTCCATCCGAGACTTGAACTCATACCATCCCAGCTGGGCCGGTATCGGCCCCCCTCGCCATCCTCGCTAATCCAAGATCGGCAATTTCCAAGAATCCCTTTTGCAAACAAGTGGGCGAACTGCGTAAGCGCGCGTCGTCGCGCGCGCATGCTGGAATTGTTCAAAGACCTTCGGCGCCGTAAGGATGTCACATTCGAATGCCCCATAAACATACAAATCATGTCGCAAACGGGTTTTCAAACACGAAAACTTGCGGGCGCGTTTTTGGCGAATTCTTCAGAAGACCACCGGTTTTTCATCATCGACATAATAAATACCAAACGGGCTTCGCGCGCGCATGTCGAAATCGTTCGAACACCCTTGGCGCGTGCCGTCACGAGAACCCTTTGCAACGGGACGAAGTGCGCACGCGCGCGCCGTCGCGCGCGCATGCCGGAATGTGTCCAGGAACCTTAAACTTCACAGCGGCTTCAAAACCTAGTGTCCAACAGACATATCAAATCACGTGGTTTCCCAACATCAGATTTCAAAAATACACACACACACACAACAAAAAACGTGTGCAAACAAGACCGTGTACTCGCGTTCTTGCGAACTGCTCAGATAAACCATGCGGTTTTCAACATTTTCATGAAATTCTGCCAAACGGGCCTCGAGCGCCGCATGCCGAAATCATTCGCGCGCCCTTGCGCGCGTGCTGGGGAGGCACGGTCCGTGTCAAGTAATACCATGCGGGCCACTCTCGCGCGTCAGCCGCGTGCGCATGTCGAACTCTTCCCAGAACCTTCATCACCGACGCGAGGACGCCGTCATCGTCGCCGGCACGATCAGTATCTGCGCCCGCACTGGGCGCGCCGTCATCGTTGTCATCGTCTTCGCCAGCATCGCTACTAGCATCATCGTGTCTACCGTTGTCGACGTTGGCATGATACCGCGCCCGCCCGAATCGCCGACTCGCACTCAAGTGCCCGCTGGGATGTGCCCAGCGGTCAGCGCCACCGCGGCCGCGTCGGTCGCGCCAAACTAGCTGGCCGCTGCGCGTGCGTGCATGGGTTGGCGCGGCCGCAGAGATGCACCAGCCGACGCCAAGCACTCATCGTAATCGCCCCCGCATGGGTTTTGCAAACCAAGTTGCGGGTGGGTGGGTGGGATGTATACAAGAGCATAGGAGGTGGTTAAGCGCGGTGCAGGGTAGTCACTTCTCCTTATTATCCAAAAAAATTGACTCCCCCCCCCCCCCCCGGGGTTCCCCCGGGAACCGATGCAAAACACATAGGATTCTGCGCGCGCGCTCGTTTGTAAAAAAAATATGTTTCAAGACTCCCTTGCAACAAAAACTGGGCGAAGTGCACACGCCCGCGTCGTCGCGCGCGAATGCCGAAACCCTTCAAGCACTTTCGGTTTCGAAAGGATTCAAAATCGAGTTTCCAACAACCCATAAAAAAACGCATGGTTTCGCAACATTGGTTTTCTAAAAAACCTTACGCGCGCGCTCCTGCGAAATCTCGAGAAAGCAATACGTTTTTCAATATTCCAAACAAATATTACCAAGCGGGGTTCGCGCGCGCGGATGCCGAAATCTTTCGAACGCCCTTGCGCGCGTGCCGTCACGAGAACCCTCTGCAGAAAATATGACGGAGTGCGCGCGCGCGCGCGTCGTCGCGCGCGCAGCCCGAAATCCTTCAAAAACCTTCGGCTTCGGAAGGATTTCAAAATATAGTGTCGAACAAACATACAAAACACAGGGTTTCGCAACATGGATGTTCAACAAAAGCGTGCGCGCGCGCTCTTGCGTGGAAATCGTCGTCGTCGTCGCCGTCCTCCCTCGTCCCTCGTCGTCGTCGTCGCCGTCGTCGTCCTCTGTCTTTCCTCGTCGTCGTCGTCCTCTTCGGCGTCGTCGTTTCCGTTGTCGTTGTCGCCGTGGTCGTCCTTCCTCCTCCCTCGTCGTCGTCGTCGTCGTCGTCGTCCGTCGTCGGCGTCTCGTCGTCGCCCCTCCTATTTCGTCGCCGTCGTCGTCATCGTCGTCTTCCCTCCTCCCTCGTCGTTGTCGTCGTCGGCGTCGCCGTCCTCCCTCCTTCTTCGTCGTTCGCGTCGTCGCCGTCCTCCTTCCTCCCTCGTCGTTGTCGACGTTGTCGCCGTTGGCGTCCTCCCTCCTCCCTCGTCGTCGTCGTCGTCTTCGTTGGCGACGTCGTCGTCGTCGTCGTCTTCGTTGTCGTCGTCGTCGTCGGCGTCGTCGTCGTCGTCGTCGGCGTCGTCGTTGTCGGCGTTGTCATCGTCGTCGTCGTCGGCGTCGGCGTCGTCGTCGTCGGTGTCGTCATCGTCGTCGTCGTTGTCGTCGAAGTCGTTGGAGACGTCGTCGGTGTCGTCGTAGTCCAACTGGCCCCAAGAAACCCAAGAGGCCTCCAAGAGCGCCGCGCCCTAAGACTGCCCAAATAAGCTGCCAAGATGCCCCAGGAGGCCCCCCAAGACAGCCAAAGGAGGCCCCAAGCCGACCCAATGTGTCCCCAAGACGGCCCAGAGGCCTCCAAGAGGCCCTGAGAGAGGATGGGGAAAGCGAGGAGGTCAGAAGAGCGACGACAACGACGAAAACACGGATACCGACCCCGACACGACGACGACGAGCACGTCCCATCACGGCCCTCCAAGGCATCTGGACACAAGGTGTCTCACGTTACGTCTTCCTGCACGCTCCTCGAGCTGTCGCCGCCCAGAGTACCGACAAAGCACGGTGGCGGGACTTACCGCAGGCAGCGAAAAACTTGACAATTGCTTTAATGTGTTTGTTTCCTTCTCTCTCCCGGAACGTACATGTTTAGGTGTATCCATGTATATGTATAGATATGGATTGCATTACCTCTCTGTACGTATATCTAATCATATGGATTACTTGATTGTTCTCTCGATGTACCTGGCTCTCTCTATGTCTCTCTCTCTCTTGTCCTCCCTCTCCCTGTATATACTTAAATACGTACAATGAGGTAAGCCTGCACATGTATATATAATCAATGTAGCGAGAGATAAAGGCTTAACTCGTATGTGGATGTTTATGTATGGATCCCTGTATCAAACAATCTCCTCCCACTCTCCACGTCCTTCTCCCTCGCCCTATCCCTTCCACTCTCCCTGCCTCCTCTCCTCCGTCCCGTCCCGTCCCGTCCCGTCCCGTCCCGTCCCGTCCTGTCCCCGTCCCCTCCCGTCACCTCCTCTCCCTCCCTCGCTCCACCCCTCGCGTTCTCTCTCCCTTTCTGCCTCCCGCACCACACTTCGGGGACGCAGCGAGAGCAACCCTCTGGCGAGTCCAGCCGGAGCACCGTGCACGGGTGGCCCGCGACGCAGGAGTTCTCCTCCGAGGCCTGCTCGCTGGAGGGCCCGGCGACGTGGACGGACCCGAGGCTCAGGCGATAGTCTGCCTCAACGGCGGGGGCATCGGGCACAGGGAAGCGGCGCCGGCGACGTTGGAGGGGGGCCAACATGGGTACTGGGGTCAGGGGGGGGGGGGAGGGCGGAAGGAGGGGGCAGAAGCGGTGAGAGTGCAGAGCGGAGAGGGGCAGGAACGCGTAGTGGGGAGGAAGCATGCGCGGAGATGGGAGAGAGGGATGGCAGCGATAGCGAGGGGAGGGGAACTGGTGGGCGAGGTGGGAGGACATCAGGGACGGGGTGGGGGTAACAGCCACAGAGAATCGCGCCAGAGAAGATTTTGAAGACTGTTGGGGAGAGGGGAAGATTAGTATGTGCATATTTGTATAGAAAGAGGGAGAGGGAGAGAGAGAGAGAGAAGAGAGAATAGAGAGAGAGAAGAGAGAGAGAGAGAGAGAGAGAGAAAAAAAAAACACAAGAAAGAGAGAAAGAGAGAGGAAGCGCGAGGCAGAGAGAGAAAGACAGAGAGTGAGAGAGAGAGAGAGAACGAGGCAGAGGAGGGGAGGGCAGGGTAGAAAGAAAGGAGGCAGCAAATCAGGGGGGCAGGGAGCGAGGGCGCGCGATTGGCGGGGCGGCGGATGGAAGGGAAGGGGGTGAGGGGGGGGGCTGCAGAATGGAAGGCACAAAGGCGCAGGCGCGAGCGGGAGCGAGGCGGAATTGGGGGAATAAGAAGACGAATGCGAAGGAGGAGGAGCACACGAGGGGTAATTTCTCCACGGCCAGCGTCCCGCGACGACCCCCGCGGGGCGCGCGCGCGCTTGCGGTCTGCAGGACAGCGGCGTTGCCGCTTGCAGCCTGCAATATCGACCGTGCTACCGACGGCTGCGCGATGCCGCAGGCAGCTGGCCCCCCTGCCCGCGGTCGGGGACTTTTGCTCAGCGTGTCGCGGCGGCGGCGGCCCTGGCGACGCACCGTGCTCTGCGAAAGGGGTAGCGTGTCGCTCCTCCCCGCGGGGCGGGAGGCTGGGATGGGCTCGGGAGGTTGGACGCCTGGGGGGCTGGGGGCTGGGGCGGGGATCATGTGCCGCGTCGCTTGAGCCGCTCAAGCGACGCGGGGGAGGCAAGGCGTCCTCTTCGGCTCAGAGCGCTCAGAGCTCAGAGCGCGAGTTAACAGGGGCGACCGATGCGGGGGGGAGCAAGGCGTCCTCTTCGGACCCTGAAGGGCCCCCGTCTGGGCCCCAGGGGCCCCTTCGGGCAGTCCTCAAGGGCCCCTTTGCTGCAACCCTCGCTGGCTCCCCCTTTCATCGCCCCCCCCCCATCTGTCGCCGCCCACGCCGCAGCATGGTGGGCCAGAGCCGGCGGAGCGACACGCGGGGCCCTTGCCGTCGCTCGGACGTCCACTGCCCGTGCGTTGTTGCGGCTTCGTGCGTGTGTTTTGTTTTTTGCTCGATGCTCCAGAGTGGTCCTCGATGGTTCTCGCCGAGAAAAGAATGCACACGTCCGACCGTACCCTCGCACTCGACCTCGGGGCCCTCGGCCGCCCTCGGCGCGCGGCCCCGGGCCCCCCGACTCGAGGCGCTCGGGCGCGCGGGCAGCCGCCGAGCCGCCCGCGGCCCGCGGGAAGCCTCTGCCCGGCACCGGGCCCACGGGGGCTCTCTTGGGGGGAACCGCAGAGTGGCATGAGCATAAGAACTCGGCGGGCGTTCTGGGTTCTCGTTGGCGGGGTGGGGATGGGCGCGGCGTGAAGAGACCGACACCGTTCGCCCGCCTCTCGTAAGGGGGAGCAGAAAGTGGCATGAACAGAAGAACTCTGAGGACCGCGCGGACTTCTCGGATCGGCGCTGGACCCCCGTCCCTGGCGCACGGAGCGCGCCAGGGGCGGCGCCGGAGGCGCCGCCAGGGGGCCCCAGCGCCGCTCCGAGAAGTCCGCGCGGACCTCCGAGGTTCTATGTTCATGTCACTCTTCGTTCCCCTAGAAGCCCACGGGGGCTCTCTGGCACCGGTCCGTGCCGCTGTCCCGTCGCCATTCTGCCGGCGTGGTGCCGAGCAGGGGCCCGCCGACCTTCCCGTCCGCTGGCGGAGCCACCAGTGCTCAGCATCCGCCCGGGCCCCACGCCTGCCGTGGCTGAGGGCGAGGCGGCAACTTCTCGACAACTCGAAGCCGAGGATCCCTTTGGGAACACCCTTGATAACAGGAATGCTGGTGTGTGATGGTGTTGTTGGTGATGGTGTTGTGATGGTGATCCTGGTGATGATGCTGCCGACGATGATGCTGATGATGGTGATGGTGATGATGATAAGTCTGATGGTAATGCTGATAATTATGATGGGGATGGTGATGGTGCTGCTGATGATGATAATGATGATGATGATGCTGATGGTGATGACGATGGCAATGATGACAATAATGTAGGTGATTGCGATGATGCGATAATGATAATAAGGTGCCTGGCGATGATGCTGAATGGTGACAGTGATGCTGATAATCATGATGACGATGCTAGTGATGATGATTCTGACTATGACTATGACTATGATGATGAATATGATGATGATAATGATGATGATGCTGATGATGATGATGATGATGATGATGATGATGATGGTGGTGGCAATGGCGATGACAATGTCAATGATGCTTACGGTGATGCTTATGGTGGTGATGATGAAGGTACTTACGCAAGCAGAAAGATTTCCCTCTTGAGCCGGAAATGTCGGAAGCGACGTGCCGTTCAGGTGAGCGGATACATGTAGCGATCTCTTCGGTTTGGGGCGTGCCATTTGTGATGGGAGAAGATGCGGGAGTTGGCAGGGCCCGCTGTAGACACCCCATCCCCTGTAGAATCATAGCTTTGGTCAGCAGTTCCACAACAACGTGGATAGCATGATGCTTCACGTGCGGTGCCCCGCGGATCCCATTTCCCCTGGGTCCGGGATGTTAATTACTATTATTATTATTATTATTATCATTATTATTATTATCGTTATTCGTATCGTTCTTCTTCTTATTAATATTATGTATATGTGTATTTCCAGAAAATCCGTCGGCCCCCTTGCGGGGCCACCAGGCTGTAGGCCGGGACTGTGCTGCTCCCTGTACCAGTTGCAGCTTCCAGTTTCCACTGTTACAGTTCTGCTTCTTGCTGCTTACTGTTCCTCTTGATGAACGCGCGAGAAGGGGGGAACCCAAATCAGCAGAACTACCACGCCCTGGAAGGGTTCTCAGAATTTCTGCGGGGGTGAAAACTGACACCCCTCACGCAGATCCGCAGGGTCAGGGTTCAAAACACAAGGGATTCTCCACCTTTCTGAAATTCGGTTGCACCCCTCACGCAGATCGGCGGGGTCAGGGTCAACAAAACACAGGGGATGCGCCACATTTCTGAAATTCGGTGGCACCCCTCATGCAGATCGGCGGGGTCAGGGTCCAAAAACACAGGGGATGCGCCACATTTCTGAAATCCGGCGGCACCCCGCATGCAAATCGGCGGGGTCAGGGTCCAAAAACACAAAGGATTTGCAACATTTCTGAAATCCGGTGGCACCCCTCACGCAGATCGGCGGGGTCAGGGTCCAAAAACACAGGGGATTTGCTAAATTTCTGAAATTCGGTGGCACCCCTCACGCAGATCGGCGGGGTCAGGGTCCAAAAACATAGGGAATTTGCCACCTTCCTGAAATTCGGTGGCACCCCTCATGCAGATCGGCGGGGTCGGGGTTGAAAAACAAACAAGCCCCGACACTGCTTCACGGCGGCGCCCAGACCTCATGATTCAGCTTTTGCCTCTCCCATTCCCCGAGACAGGGGGCAGGCGGAATGGGGCGAAGCCCTTACGGTATATCTATATATATATATATGTATAATATATATATATATACATTTATATCGGTTATGTATATATATAGAGAGACATAGATATATACACAAGGGGGAACTTGGATCCTCGCAAGACAGACGTAGGATCCACGACCCTGTCGCACACCCGAAGAGGGATCCAATGGGATCCATCGGTGTTCTCATATATCTTAGTCCAAGAAGAAAAACCGTTCGGCCTGGGGATGTAGTGATGGCGATGATGCCGACGCTGATGATGATGCTGATACTGACGGCGATGATGGTGGTGATGATGCTGCTGATGATGATGATGATGATGGTGATGATGCTACTGATGATGCTGCTGATGATGATGATGCTGCTGATGCTGCTGATGGTGATGATGGTGATGAGAATGATGACGATTATGATGATTATGATGCTGCTGCTGCTGCTGCTGATGATGATGATGATGATGATGATGATGGTGGTGGTGGTGGTGGTGGTGGTGGTATCGGTGGTATCGGTGGTGATGATGAAGATGGTGTGCTGACGGTGGTAATGCTGAAAATCATGCTGAAGCGGGGGGCGGCCATGGAGCACGTGGGGGAGGACACGGGAGGGACCACAGAGAGAGGGCCGAGGGAGGGGAGAGGAGCAGCACAGGGCCTTCCGCGGCAGCATCCTGGACCAACAGCTGCACTAATGCAGAGCCTTCAGCACCGCACGGCCTCCGCGCCAGCAGGTCCGCTGCCTGGTGCTGGCCGATGCCCCGCCCCCGCTGGGCGATGCTGGCCCCGCCTTCCCGAGGCGGCGAGGATCAGGGCGACGCTGACCCAGCCTCCGCGGAGACGCCCCGCGGCGCGGCGTCGTCTGATGGGCCGCGGTGAGGAAAGCGAACCCTCCAGACGCCTGATCGGGGCACAAATGAGCGACGCTCAAAAACGGGTCTTACGCGAGATGACGTAGCGACCTTACGCGGTGAGTTACGCGGGCCGCCCGCGCGGCATGCCGCATTTGAAGCGAGGGCGCTTACGCGCGACCTTATGCGGGCAACTTACGCGCCAATGTCGGCGCAAACGACCCCGTTTTGTTGCGTCGCTCAAATAGAGATACAAATAATTAGCCAACGCTCTCAGGGCCTCTCCAGGGCTGCGTTCTGACCAACATGTCGAGGCGCATCCAGCCGTGGCGACGAGGTACAAGCAGCGGCATCGGTAGTTACGGCAACGTCGTGTCGTGATGACGTCGGCGTTAGGACACCGCGTGGATCGTTCCGCCTTGAGCCATCGCGGCTCTCTGCGATGGCGCGGATCGTTCAGTGCCGGCCGGCTTCGGGCCACCTCGCTGCGTCAACCCTTGAACGCCTGCGCCAGAGCCGCCGCCGCGCCGACGCATCGCGAGCCTGCCGGCTGCTTCCCTCGTCTGACCTGCAGCCGCGCCGCCGCTCGGCGACGCCTCCCCGCCGAGCAGGTACGCCGCCCCTCCAGCCGCGCAGCCGCCGCGCCAGGCCACCCCGCGGGGCAGCGGCGCGGACCAGAGGACGGCGCGCCCACCGCCGCCGCCCCCCAGGCGCCGCGCCACGAGGCGGCCCGGCTCGAGCGTCAGGACGACGTCCTCCTCCTCAGAGAACAGAAAATCCACCCTAATAATCATCATCATCATCATCATCATCATCATCATCATCATCATCATCATCATCATCATCATCATCATCATCATCATCATCATCATCATCATCATCATCATCAGCATCACCCCAACGCGAGAGGCTGTTCAGTAGACGCCCAGGGCCGTTTAACAAACGCCAGATTGCGGGTCCGGGTGTGGTTTCCTCCCTTGACTCCTCTCCAGGCCTCCCAGATGGGGTCGGAGCAGATGGGGCCACTGGATCGCACCGCATCGGCGATGCACCGGCGATGCATCGGCGATGCGCCGCCGATGTGTCGGCGATGCGGCGAGATCCTCCGACCCCACCTGCTCGGAGCCCACCTGGGAGGCCTCTGTCCTCGAGGACGAGCTGCAGCTGCGGGGCCTCAGCGGCCTGCGGCCCGCCCACCTCGAGGTGCGGCACCAGGCCGCCCCCGGCCGCGCCCCGGAGGGGGCGCAGTCGCACGCTGGCGCCACCCGCCTCCCGCGCCCAAAACGCGCCCGAGCCTGGAGATCTGGACGCCCGAAACGGGTGCGGAAAAGACGGGTGCAAGGCCGAACATCAGACACTGTCCGAAACCGACAGCGGCCGCTGCTGGGCCGGCGGCTTTCTGTCTTCTTCAGTGAGCAGCGTCGGCGGCGGCGCGGACAGCGGCTCAAAATGAACAGGAACTTTTCTTGGGCCTTGTGCCCATTCTTTCCGTACCGATTTCGATCGCCCCGAGGAGAAATCCCCAAAAAGGTACCGATACCACTACTCTCCGGATCTGTGCCAAGGTGCGTTCTGACCAGGATGTCGAGGCGAGTCCAGCGGTGGCGGCGATGGCCTTCTGGGAGGCGGAGAAGCGGGGAAACGGGCGAAGGGTAGCGGTATCGGTAGCTTTTCCTCCTCTGAGAGCCCCCCGCGGCAGAGGCGAGGGCGTGGTAGCGGCCGCCGTGGAGGGTCAGCGGGGCGGGCCGCCTCGGCGTGGAGCCGTTGGCGCCGCCCGGGCTCTCGCCCAGCGGGCAGCGCAGGCCCTGCCGCGGGTCGGCTCCCAGCAGGACGGCGGTGCACCCCCAGGCGGCCGGCGTGGCCGCGGCCGCGGGGGGCACAGGCCCGCCCTGCGTGGCCACAGGCGCGCAGTCCAGGGCGAGCCCCGCGACGCCACCAGCATGGAACTCGGGCGCGTCCGACATGCAGTCGCGGAGTACCGGCCGCACCACGGGCAGCAGCTCGTCGGTGCCCGTGACATCGCGGAGCCGAAGCTCGTGAATGGAGAACCTGTCGCCGACCAACAGCAACTGTGGGTCCAACGAGGTGTGGCACGCCAAGAAGAACGGGCGGAACAGCTCGTCGGGCCACTGGTTGCCTGCGAACACTCGCTCCGGGCCTGGAATCGGCGATTCGGCCTGCGGCGGCTTGATGTGGATGTCTATTCCCGTTGCAATGCTCACGATGACCCAGACGCACTTCGTGCACCACACTACTAGCAACACGCAAGCTCCAGAAGAGAAGACGCGCCAGGGGATCTTGCCTGGCGGCTTCCTCTGCATGGGTGTGTGATAGGTCTGGTAGTGGTCTGCAGAACGTGCGGAAGCGGCCTGGCAGTGGCGCACAGGATTCTCCATCAGCTGCACGGATTCGCGCTCGCTGGAGCGGGTCTCCTGCGCTTGGCCCTCGTCGCGCAGGGCCTCGCCGATGTCCTCTCTGAACGCGGACTCCTGGCTCGTCACTGACTGGCTCCTCATGGACGGGCCACGAGGCAGCAGCGAGATCCTGGGGGCGACGGCCCGTTCCCTGGGCTCGCCTCCCCTGGGTGCGGCGTCCTGCCCCGCTGCTCTGACAGTGCCCTCCTCCTCCTCTGCACCAGCAGCTGCCTCGGCAGCTGCTGCCATCTCAGCCCTGCGCATCTCGACCACCGCCTGCACCCTCTCCTGGAGCTCTGCCAGCTGCTGCAGCAGGTCTCCCAGCTCGACGACGCGGTCCTGGGCCTCGCAGGGCCGCGACCAGACGCAGTCGCCGGTGCCGCTGTGGACGTAGTACCTCGTGGGCGTGCCCGAAGGGTTCCACTCGAGCGTCAGCCACAGAGTCCCTGCCATCGGCCCCTCGTCCCGGTCGGCGGCCCCCGCCAGCTCCGGGGCCACCTCCGCCAGCTGCTCCACGCAGCGGTCCAGGCGCTCCCGCGTGGCGCGCACCCCGTCGAGGTAGTAGCTCCAGGTGCTCCCGCGGAGCAGGTCCTGCACGGCCTCGGCCTCCCAGCGCTCCAGGTGGCTCCGCAGCTCCGCCAGCTGCCTCTCGCAGCTCTCCTCCAGCGAGGAGCGCATGATCGTGGGAGGCCTGGCGCTGCGCCGGCTCACGACGGAGGCAGAGGTGAAGGCCCGCGGCCTGGCGCTGCCGGGCGGCCCCTCCGACGTGGAGCGGGTGCGCTCGCGACGGACCTGCCTCTCGAGCTCGCCGAGAAGGGTGACGGGCTCCCGCTCGACGACATCCTCCTCCTCGGGCATTGCGTTGCGCGTGTGTCGTCCAGTCGCGCTCCGCGAGAGTTCGCCATCATCCGCGGACGCGTGTGACCGATCAGAGACCTGCCGAGATGGCGCGGCAGAGACACGTCGAGACGGGCTTGATGGGAGAGTCAGCCAGCCAAACACGTCGAGGTAGAGGACGCTGCGAAACTTAATTGGTAAAGCTACCTCTCCAATTGTGTGGGCTTTGGCGAAGCTGATGATGAGAACGATCCAACCGATGTGGAAAGCATAGATCACAGGCACAATCACATTTATGAATGCATCACGGTGCTGGAACAATGGGTGGGAATAGTTCCAATACTCAATAATGATCCCTGCCCAAGCCATCACTGGCGGCAAGGTGACAAATGTGCCCACCAATGTCAGCATCTTTCGCGACAGAAACAAGTCAAGCCTGGTGACCAACCAAGAGCAGGCTGCAAGCACGACTGCGAAACACAAGGCGGGCATTGGGGACTTCGCCTCAGTGGCCAGTATAACGAGGCTGGAGTAAATAAAAGCATGTAGCAACTGATTAACGCCAGCGGACATGCATACCCGCGTATAAGCATCATAGGCTTGCCAGTTTGCTTGCAATTGCCTGAACAGGCGAAAATGCTTGAGCATCCCAGCCGACTCTGGCTGGCCAGGCACGACTGTATCCTCGTCTGGTTCCCCAACTCCCTGCGCGTCAACAAATTCTTCCATGGCGTTGTTCAGGCGCTCTAACATCGGCAACCTCATCATGTCTGTGACCTTTCCAGTCTCGTACTCCGTGGCGAAGGCCCGCGCTGCATCTATCTGTTGCGTATCCGGCACAGGCAATCTGACAAACTGCGTCAGCACCCTCGCCCCGAAAGAGTGGGCTGCGACAGACGCGTGCAAAGCAAGCCACATACTCATGACGAGGAACAACAGAGCTCCCATGGTTGTCATGCCGTACAGCCAGAGGAGCCACTCGGGGGGAGTCTCTCTGGGCCGACCCTCTGTCAGCAGAACAATACAAAAACCAAACATCAGAGTGTTGACCAGGAGATAACTGTCCATCTTACTGACAGTGAGATTCACCAGGTCGTCAATGTCCTGGCGGTACATCTCAAATTGGGCGATCCGCATGTTCTGACCTTGGTACTCCCTCTGCTGATTCTGTTCCTTATCGAATACGAAGCCCTCCCGGTTATAACTGAATAGCTCCCCCATGGACTCCATGATGGACAACCCCGACCACAAGCCAATATCTGGACAAAATTGGCAAGCCGCATTGCAACCCAGAGGGTCAGATTCGTATCGAGCCCAACACGCTACAAAGAAAAACGAGCATCAGCAGAAGAAGTCTGAGGCGGCACAGGGGGAGGGATGGGTGAATGGAGATGGGGGGAAGATAATGGAGGCAGGAATAGTGGGCGACGCGGGAGGTGGGAAGATGGAGAACGGGTATAAAGAGGCGGAGGGAAGAGGGAGGAGGAGACATGGGGGGCATGTGGAGGGGAGAGGGGGTCCCAAGCGACGGCTGCATGTGCTCATCGTCGTGACACGGGGCCAAGTCAAAGCTCTACACTTGAAAGAGGGAGCCCCCTCCTTGCCCGGGAGCCTGCGACCCCGCCCGCTAGGCCCACGCGGCTTCTCAGAGCCTTCAGGGGGTTGTGGTCCACACCGTCCTGCACAGTCAAGACGCTGAAATAAGGAACGGCTTGGGCGCGGAAGGGGCTCAATATTCTTTAGGTCGTTGTGTGATTGTTCCTCCAGCCCTCCTCGTGACCGCTGTCGCTTTTGGGCCAGAAACGGGGGCTTCGTTCCTGATTCACAGTTTCTTGTTTCAGCTGCCCTGCTGCAACCGTTGGTGCCAACAAGCGTACTCAGCATGTTGCCACCGCCAGTCGCCATTACCGTCATCATCATCATCATCATCATCATCATCATCATCATCATCATCATCATCATCATCATCATCATCATCATCATCATCATCATCATCATTATCATCATCGCCATCATTGCCACGCTCATCGGCAACACCACCATGATGCGTACCACTCTGGTCGCTGTTGCTGGGAATGATGCCTTCACTCCCGTGCAGCAAAGAAACGCAGCACACGTCGAAACCACCACTCCCCCCTGTCTGTATGGGGACTCCCTGCAACTACCCTCTTGCCTTGCTCGCACCTCGTTCCGTTCCCAAATCCTACCGTAAACCTGGAGACGTTCCCCCGGGCCTCCAAACACCACCAACAATCTTCGACAACCAAAGAACACTGTCTGGAAACCGTCGAATACCACTGACAAACATCGAACATGTGTAGGGTCATTCGGGTCATCAAACCAAGTGGCGGAATCATCAGACACCTGCGATAACGCGGAAACATTCGGTTCGGAAACCTCTTGGTCAACCCCCTCCCCCGTGGCATCAACAACCCCATAGAGGCCACTTTGCCCCCCCCCCCCCCCCCCCCCCCCCCCCCCCCCCGCCAGCCCTCCTTATCCGTTCTCCCTTGCCCTCCTCGCTCCTCGCTCCCTCACACCAGCCCTCCGTATCCTTCCTCCCTTGCCCTCCTCGCTGCTCGCACCTCGCTCCTGGCGCCTCCCTCCTCCCCCCACAAGTACTCAAGATGAAGCCTGCTCTCCCTCGCTCTCTTTCTCTCGTAGGCAGTTCGCCGCGAGGAGCTGCGGAGAACAAGCGCCCGCTCCCTCTGCGCGCGGGACTCCGCGACAACATCTCTCTCTCTCTCTCTATATCCATTGTTCCCTCCTTCCCTCCCTCTCTCTCTCTATTCCTCTCTCTCTCTCTCTCCCTCTCTCTCTATTCTTCTCTCTGTATGTATGTATGTACTTACTCCTTCATCTGTGGTTATATCGGAGGTGAGGGGGTGAGATCGAAGTGGAACGGAGAGCCCCTCTACCGGGAAATCGATTTCGGTTTCGTGTTCGTGCGTGCCGTGCGCGCGGGCGGGGCGAAGCTGCGTGGGCGGGCGAAAGGAAAGTCTCCTATGGCTGAGGCGCGGCCGGACCAAATGTGTCTCTTCCAGGCGGCCGGTGGCGCGCGGTGTCCCGCCGGTGTCCCGCTGGTGTCCCGTCGGTGTCCCTGTGGCTGAGGCGCGGCCAGACCAAATGTGTCTCTTCCGGGCGGCCGGTGGCGCGCGGTGTCCCGCCGGTGTCCCGCTGGTGTCCCGTCGGTGTCCCTGTGGCTGAGGCGCGGCCGGACCAAATGTGTCTTTTGAGCGGCCGGTGGCGCGCGGTGTCCCGCCAGTGTCCCGCCGGTGTCCCGTCGGTGTCCCGTCGGTGTCCCGATGATGATGTGGATGATTATGATGATGATGGTGATGATGGTGATGATGATGGTGATGATGATGATGTTGATGATGGCGATGATGATGATGATGATGATGATGATGATGATGATGATGATGATGATGATGATGATAATGTTGATGTTGTTGATGATGATGATGACGTCGATAGTGAGATCGATTGTGATATCGATAGTAAGACCGAATGTGAGATCGATTGTGAGATCGATAGTGAGATCGATTGTGAGATCGATAGTCAGATCGCTTGTGAGATGATGATGGTGATGATGGTGGTGATGGTGATGATGATGGTGGCGATGATGAAGAAGACGTTGACGATGTTGATGATGATGGTGTCCCGATGACGATGGTGTTGATGATGATGTTGATGATGGTGATGATGATGTTGATGATGATGGTGTCCCGAAGATTACAGTCCGATAACGAGACCGGATGTGAGATCGATTGTGCGATGCTGATGGTGATGATGGCCCTGATGGTGATGATGATTGTGATGATGATGACGACGTTGATGATGATGATGCTGATGATGATGATGACGAAGATGATGATTGTGAGAGCGGTTGTGATATCGATAGTGAGATCGGTAGTGAGACCGAATGTGATATTGATTGTGAGATCGATTGTGAGATCGATAGTCAGATCAATTGTAAGATAGATCGAGTGAGATCGATTGTGAGATCGATCGAGGGAGATCGATCGAGCGAGACCGTTACTGAGATCGATAGTGAGACCGATCGAGTGAGACGTTGGTTCCTCCCCTCCCCGAACCTCCTTATCACCCGAAGGGTGGTCGTATAGGTATCGGAGGTGAGGGGGTGAGATCGAAGTGGAACGGAGAGCCCCCCTACCGGGAAATCGACTTCGGTTTCGTGTTCGTGCGTGCCGTGCGCGCGGGCGAGGCGAAGCTGCGTGGGCGGGCGAGAGGAAAGTCTCCTATGGCTGAGGCGCGGCCGGACCAAATGTGTCTCTTCCGGCCGGCCGGTGGCGCGCGGTGTCCCGCCGGTGTCCCGCTGGTGTCCCGTCGGTGTCCCTGTGGCTGAGGCGCGGCCGGACCAAATGTGTCTCTTCCGGGTGGCCGGTGGCGCGCGGTGTCCAGCCGGTGTCCCGCTGGTGTCCCGTCGGTGTCACTGTGGCTGAGGCGCGGCCGGACCAAATGTGTCTCTTCCGGGCGGCCGGTGGCGCGCGGTGTCCCGCCGGTGTCCCGCTGGTGTCCCGTCGGTGTCCCGTCGGTGTCCCGATGATGATGTGGATGATTGTGATGATGATGATGATGGTGATGATGATGATGATGATGGTGATGATGGCGATGATGATGATGATGATGATGATGATGATGATGATGGTGTTGTTGTTGATGATGATGACTTCGATTGTGAGATCGATTGTGACATCGATAGTGAGGCCGAATGTGAGATCGATTGTGAGATCGATAGTGAGATTGATTGTGAGATCGATAGTCAGATCGATTGTGAGATGATGATGGTGATGATGGTGATGATGGTAATGATGGTGATGATGGTGATCATGATGATGATGATGATGACGACGATGATGATGATGATGATGATGATGATGATGGCGTCGATTCTCAGATCGATTGGGAGTTCGACTGTGAGATCGATAATCAGATCGATTGTGCGATGCTGATGGTGATGATGGTGATGATGGTGATGATGGCCATGATGGTGATGATGATTGTGATGATGATGACGACGTTGATGATGATAATGATGATGATGATAATGATGATGATGATGATGATGATGATGATGATGCTGATGCTGATGATGATGATGATGTTGATGATGATGTTGATGGTGATGTCGATGATGATGGTGATGATGATGATGATGATGATGATGATGATGACGACGTCGATGGTGATATCGATAGTGAGATGGATAGTGAGACCGAATGTGAGACCGAATGTGAGATCGACTGTGAGATCGATTGTGATATCGATAGTGAGATCGACAGTGAGACCGAATGTGAGACCGAATGTGAGATCGATTGTGAGATCGATTGTGAGATCGATAGTGAGATCGATAGCGAGATCGATAGTGATATCGATAGTGAGATCGAATGTGAGATCGATTGTGAGATCGATAGCGAGTTCGATTGAGTGAGACGTTGGTTCCCGCTCCCCCCTCACCTCCTTATCACCCGCAGGGTGGTCGTATAGTGTGTATATATATACTCTCTCTCTTTCTCTCTTTCTCTCTGTCTAGTCTGACCCAGTGGTGCTCCCACCTGCATCGAGTATGGCTTTGTCTTCCCACACTCCAGATTTCACCATATTGTGCGTATTGGGACTTTCTTGAGATCAGTTCAGCCAGCAGGATCTTCTCCTGCTCCTCCTTCACCTTCTCCTCCTTCTCTTTCATCTCTCCATATTCATTTTGGCTCAAGCACAGATGGCCCAAGGCTCCCGTATCCGTTTGGGCTCGAGTGCACCATGTGCCGCCTAGCTCTGCGCCTCCACGTCGGCGCCCGAGGGGCATCGGGTCGTCCTCGCCTCAGATTTCGAAGCAGATCCTGGTGGTGAAGCAGAGCTAAATCAAATCAGCATAGGCACGAGTTCATCAATTAGGTACTGCTGGTTGGTGTTGCCCTCCCAGGAGGTCGGCGAGCCAGGGGATTTCCCTAAGAGCTCACCGCCGGAGGCTAGCGGCTATCTCCATTCACGCTTCTGTTGTCGTACTATTTGTTCGAATGTGGCCTCGCAGGTCTTCATCTCGGCTATTCTGTTTGCCACGCGTGGAGTCTTGCAACGCGGTGCAGACTTGTCTCCATTGCACTTGATGGGAATCATCTTGACTCCTGGAGGCGTCCTTCCTCTACTTTTTGGGGGCCACTGCCGTCACAATTCGGTCCTGCGGTTCGGTACGGCGTCGCTCCGAGAGCTCGACGAGTCCGCGCACCCCCCCTCCACTTCAGGCGGCCGGACCTAAAACAAAAGACCAGTCTGAGAGCGAGCGGAGAGGAGCCGACGAGGCAGAGAGCGAGGCGAGGAGGTGAGGGGACGGAAGAAAAACGAAGTGAGGAAGAGGAACTGCTGGCCGGAGAAGGGCGGCCCGTCTGGATTGAAAACTGGGGGGCCTGCGCGCAGAAATGAAGGACGACCGCCACCAAATGCCCATGCGCTTCTCCTCCACCTCCCCTCCCTCCCTCCCTCCTCCCTTCCTCTTCCTCCCTCCTCCTCGTCCTCCTCCTCGTCGTCGTTGTCCTCCTCCTCCTCGTCCTCGTCCTCCTCCTCCTCCTCCTCCTCCTCCTCCTCCTCCTCCTCCTCCTCCTCCTCCTCCTCCTCCTCCTCCTCCTCCTCCTCCCCTCCCGCCCTTCCTCGGCCCACGGCACTCGCCAACGAGGGAAGTTCACGGGCGGGCTCGCTCAACTGACGCCGGGTACGGGAGGCAGCTCCGGCAGCACCGCGGGCAACTCCACTGCCGGCAGCGCGGGCATCGGCAGCCCTTCCACTGCCGGCAGCGCGGGCAGTGGTAGCCCGCCTGAGAACTTGTCGATGAACTCCTGCAGCTGTTGGACCGCGTCCTTGTTCGAGAACTGCTCGTTCCTGGCGATTTCGGCCACGGAGAGCATCGCAAACCGCCCGTTGCTTATCTCCCGATTGCGCATGTCGTCGTCGTACATGTTCAGGCCGAGCGGATCGCCAAAGTCCCCGATCTCCTTCTTCGGGTCCTGCTTCCACACCTTGAGCTCCATGTAACCGCAGAAAAGTATCATGACGATCCAGCCTTGCAGCCCGGGCGACACGTCGGCGGCGCGGATGCCGCTCGGCACGGCCTCGAAACCCGGGAACTTCAGGAAGTGCTGCCCCACGAGTCCCACGGAGGCCATCATCGCCACGCGACCGTGCTTCAGCTCCGCCTCCCGGAAGTTGCGGAACTTGCCCCTGTCCCCAACCTTGCAGATGTTCAGGGGATCAAAGTACCCCACCGGCAGCAGCGCTCCGATCTGCGTCGCCGGGTCGAACGGGGGCGGCTCTGGCGGCCCCTTCGGCTTCTTCTCCTTCTGCGCACTCCTCGCCTTCTGGGCCGTCCCGGCCGCCGCGCGCCGCTCGGTGCGACTGCTCCGCCTCGCACGCCGCGCGCCCAGCGCTCCGACGGCGGCGGCGAGCGCCAGGGCCTGGGCCGCTCCTGCCGCCGCGGCGGCCGCCGGGCCCGCGGCGGCGGGGCTCGGCCTGGCGGGCAGCACGAGGCCCTGCCCGACCAGCGGCCGCGTGCCGAGGGGCACGGCCGCCGGTGCGCGGCCGACCATGGCAGCGCTGGGCCCTCCGAGCGGGGCCATGGCGCCCGGCCCAGAGGCCTCGGGGCCAGTGCACGGCCGAGTGTCTGACGGGGTATAGGCAGGCGCTGAGCCAAACGCGGCTACGGCTTCTGGAGGCGTCCTTCCGGAGCCTCTCGTGCGCGGTCCCGGGCCACGCGTGGCTGTCAGCACACGCTCCTCTCGGAGTGTGGCCCGCGGCCGCGGCAGCTCGGTGCTTCATACATGCGTTTCCTCCGCCTGCAGTTCTGGGGAGTTTCCTGCATGCTTGTGCTTAACCGATGGCACCCGCTCGCTTCATACCCAAATCCAGTCAAGCTGGGGGCACACATCGTCAGATTCAGTGCTTCCATATCCCACGTCCGCATAGGGAAAGTACGGCGTCTATTTCCTGGGGGTGTTTCGCATGAGTGGGCCAGCCATCATTTGGTTTGGGGGAGGGCTGCGGTTGCTGCTAATTTCTATGGGCACCGCGTGACCCATGAAGACTTTTGGCCAGATTGCTCAGCATCGTCGGTTTTACATGTCTCTGACTCTTTTCAGCTGGTTGTTTTTTATTGTCCCCTGCATGCGCAGTGCATGGGGTTATTTTTTGGGGGGCGCCCTCCTCTCCTGAGGAGCCCGAGCAATGTGGGTGAAGAAATCTGTCTCGCAGGCCTTCCGAGGGACCTGGGCACGTGCAATGTTGCGGAAGGGTTTGAGGTTCTCTACTTCTTCGTGGTGCTGTTCTCCCTGGTCCTGTC